ACCCGAAGAGTTCCTTGCATTTTCAAATAGGTGAATTTCTAGGTTTAAAAGGCATAATGGATTAAAAAAAGTTACAATTTATGGTGAGGCAGGAAGCGCACCCTTGGAACCTTACCTGTAAAATGTGTCAAACTACAAGAGCATCTCTCTTGCTACAACCCAAAAGATATATACAATGCTGATAAAATAGGATTATTTTACCGGTTGCTTTCTAGTCAAACACTTTCTAAAAAAAAAAAGTTAATTGGGCAAAAGATGGTAAAAAAAAATAAATAAATAAAAAAAATAAAATAAATTAATAAAATAAATAAATAAAGAAATAAAAAAGTTAAATTAGGCCATACAAATTTAATCACTTGGTTTTCATAATATGAAATTTTTTAAGCTAACCTAGCCGGCCGGGTTATAAAAACCAATTACAGTAACTTAATGTTCCTATCCATTATCCGTTTATCCATCAGATATCTAGATATCTATTTACTATTGATATCTAGATAATTATCTGAAAACCTGTTAGATTATCCAGATATCCGAGTGGATAAATGGATGACAGATTATCAGGATTGGAACTCTACAGTAACTAATTTTTCGTGGCCTTATTAAAAAATTAAGATATTTTTTTTTTCTTTTTTAGGACAAAACTGAGGTAACTGTATTGCTTTGCTCTAACTCAATGAGCTTCGATAAATTACATCTGCTGGTTATTGGCATCGCCAAAAAACCACAATCTTTTAAAAGGATAAATCTATCGCAACTACCAGTAACCTATAGAAATAATAAAAAAGCATGGATGAGAACTGATATCTGAAAAAAATGGTTGGAATTTATTGACAAGGGTTTTCGCATTCAAGGTAGACAAGTCCTGCTTCTTGTTGATAATGCATCCTCTCATACGGTCTCAGAAACAAGTAATCCAACTGAAGTCCAAAATAATGCTGAGAAATCTGCATTAGAAGATGAATCTGCTGAAGAAATTGAAGAAATTCGGGAACAACCCAGGGAAGATCGCGAGGAAGGACACGAGGAAGATTACAAGAAGGAACCCAGAGTCCTAATTCCACTAATTTGGGCCGATCAAGATGAATTTCAGACAAACTTCACCTCACGAATGTTACTGTATATTATCTTTTGCTACTTACAACAGCCCACCTTCAACCCATGGACGCTGGCATCATTAAAAGTTTCAAGTCGAAATACAAAAATATGTATTGTCATTATCTGCTTAGCCAATTTAAAAAAAATAAAGAACAAAGGTAAGAGTTTGTCTTTAGATAGGTCGAAATTGATAAAAAATAAAGCATTTGAGAATTACAAGAATTCAGCAAAGGCAGATAATTCGAAAGGATTCTCTAAAACTATCATTTTATCTGATGAAATGGGAGTGCCAATGGAATGCTTCAAGTTGGTAATTGTTATCTTTACGAATTTGGTTAAACACTAGGTATTTATTTGGTATAAAAAATCAAGAGCAAAAGGAAACTCTTATGGAATACATGCTTGGTTATGTTACGAATATGGAATTGAAATTGAAAAGGATGAAAACTAAGCATTTGCTTTTAACTATTCTTATACTAACAACTTTATAAAATGCAGAAAACTTACCCTAAGAAAAGCCATCGATTTTATTTCTGATGCTTGGAAAGAAGTCAGTAAAACTACTATTAGGAATTGCTAGAAGACTACTAGGATTATGCCAGAAATGAATGAACCAGAAAAAAGTGAATCGGATGATGAACCTGAATATAAAATACCCGAGATCAATGATACTGCTATGTTAGTTGGTAATTTTTTGTACGAAACTAACCCGGTAGCCAAAGAATTAGAAAGTAATATTAATGAATATATCTATATGATGGACTAGCCAACTATGACTGAAGATGTATTAACAGATGATGGTATTATTGAAGCGGTGCTAGATGAATTTTGTGAAGACGAAGATGATTATGATGATGATGATGACGAACCACCACTACTTCCAATAACCCTGACTGAGGCCATTAAAGCATTGGAGAAGGTTGAAAGATTTCAGAAAAGCCTTGATGATGGAATTGGATTTGATGAATATGAGTTAATTACATTGCGAAAAAGGTTTAAAGAATGGAGATCTGAAAAAGAAAAAAATAAAAAGCAGTCTTCTATCTTATCTTTTTTTGGAAGTACTAGTACTACTTCCTAAATTTTACTTCAATTTTGTTTTTTGGTTTACTTGTATGTTATTTTTTTGCTAGAATAGCAGAAAATTATAGAATCGAAATAAAGAATATAGTTTTAAAAAAAACTTTATTTTTTTTTGTTTTTTAAAAAAAAAAAAAATGCTCTATACGTAATTATCATAATTATCTTAAAGTCAGATCATAACAAAAGATCATGTTCGCATAATATAATAGAACCTTGAATTGCTATAACTGCGACTAATAGAAGAGACTAAGACTTAAATACAAAGAAATCAAATTTTACTTAGCTGAGATCACAGCTTCATATAATAAACCCTTTATTTATATTCATGTATTAAGTCAGCGTTCTCAAATAACTTAAATGAGGAAATGACCAAATGCTTAACTAAGCAACTATATTTTTTAAAAGTTAAAATCTAGAGATGTATATGTACGTATATTCGTACTACTTTTTTTATAACTTTTTGATTGGTTGGTTTGTAAGCCCATGATTTAATGTGACTTTAGTAGGAGAAGTTTTATATAGGTATTATATGAGTGGTTAACAAAAAATTGTGATAGTAACTATATAGCAATTGTGCTTATATAAAGGTATAAATAATATAAAAGAAGTTGATAAAAAAATAAATGTGATTATATTGGTTTTGTGACTATAGAGGAGGTGACTATAGAGGGTGATGACTGTATATATTCCAGAACAGAACTATATACGTAGTAGTTTCTAGAATGTATATAAAAAAAATTATTCAATTTCGATTTTATCACGTATGTACGTAGCGAATGTTCATGAGTCGCTTATTTTTATACACATACTTAGAACTAGGAGCTGGGAACTATAATTAAATATATATGTAATCCTAATAATAATGGATCCGTATTATTTCAATTATTCACTGACATTTATTTCACCGAAGGTCATTTTACAGACAATGTAATTCTGGTCAGTATCATTAGAGTCAGGCTAAAATTAGAGGTAAAATTAGTGTAATTTATAAAAAAAAAAACTTGTTGATGAAATGAAATAAACTGTTGGTGAAATGAACTTGTCGGTGAACAATTGCGGTGAAATGTGGTGTCTTCGAAGTGATTGTCGGTAAAATAATACAGATCCTAAAGATCCTATTTACCTAGGTGTGAATGAACGTTTTATATTCATCCATTTAACATCAATTCTAATTAGAAATGCTGACTTTCCAATTAGAGATGGTAAGGTCTAGTCCTGGTCTAGTCCTGGTCCGGTCCTGGTCTTGTAACCTGTAGGTTTTACTGCATGGACTTATGGACCAAGTCCTTATAAAACCAGGTTTAGGACTTTAGTTAACTTATGTCTAGTCCAGGACTTAGTCCTAGAATCTAGGTCCGCTATATGTTGTAAAAAGGCGGATTTGGGATGACTAGTACTTGCAACCTAAGACACAACAAAAATCAAAGGCTATTCGAAAAGAATGCATAGAAGATTTGATCCGAGAACCAAGGATTAGGATTCCCAGAGTTTATTATTAAATGGTCATTCACTTGTTTACAGATACATGAAATCAATGGTTATTTATACATTACAGGAGCTTTAGGGCTTTGCTAATATGATTAGAATCTCTAAGCAATATGACTATTTAGAGTATCGGGGAATCTATGACTAATGATGAGTAATTCATACTCATTTGCATGGCTATGACTTTAGTTCCCACTATAGAGGCGCCTTACTATTGTTCTTCAATAGAGCTTCACCTCACAATATACATATTGACATTTACCTATTAAATAATATTATGTGAACATATATTACATATACGTATATATTAAATAAATAATTACGATCTTAAACTATACGTATACGTATTTAAATTTTTATTGAAATTATACTGTATATTATTGATTAGGCTGCCAGAATTATGCAATACGTACGTAGCAGAAATTTGCAATTTAAATGAATTTTATTATTTTTAATAAATTTTAATTTGTATATTAGGGCTTTTTAAAATCCCAAGGACCCTTGGTCTTTAAAGACCAGGTCCTAAAGTCCCAGATTTAAGGACTTTACCAACCCTACTCCCAATGCAAAAAAAACGTTTTACTTGACAATTAAAAATAATCACAGGGAAATACTATAAAAGTTTTGTTATAACAACTATATATATTACATATCTAAGCTAAGCGAGTTACTTAAAGTTTAATCATCTATTACAATAACTTTTTTTGTTATTATGAAATGCTCAAGCTCATTAATTTATTTATCAATTCATGAACTAGAGTGTCTAGAACCAGGACAAGTCTTTGATGGGAGAACCGGGGCAAGTTCATTGTGGGAGAAACTGGGGCAGGTTCTAAATATCTGACGTTTGAGTGTATGGTTGACCCATCAAAATCTCAGGTGCTATATATGGCAGAATACTACAAATTTTTCTGTCCTTTCTTTTCTAAAAAATCCAAGATCTGTGTTTCTGCTGTGTAAATCTCTATGAACGAGTTCTTGCGAATGAATTGACTTAAGATCCAAAGCTATACTGTGCAAGATACTCAATTTATCTTTCCATACCAACTGTGTTACTTGTACAAGATTTTGTCGTAACGAACCTGTTGGTGCATAATTCAAAACAATAATATAATTGCCATAATTATTTCTTGATATTCCAAGACATTCCAAGAACGAAGGATTCTTGTAACCAATTTCACAGTGGTTTTTTAATTCCTGGATAAATTCTTGTATATTTTTGTTTGAATCACGAATCACTTTAAGTGCAACATTACTCCATATATTATTAATTCTATCGAATCAGTGTTCATTGTGGGGAGCCGGCAGATTCATTGTAGAGGAGAACCGAAGCGGGTTCATTGTGGGAATGATGGAGAACTGAACATGCTATGTATTGTAAAGCATTAGTAGATACGCATTAAAATAATTAATACTGTATCTCATCTTTAATTTAATTAACATTTTAATAAATTATTAACTTACAGTTCCTCTGGTTTTTTACGGATATGCAAGAATTTGAAAGGGGATATTCGTTGAACCCATTCTTCTATGTCACTATCTTTGAAATCTTTAAGGTTTCCAATGAACTGGACAGTTAATTCGGGTCGTACCGCAGGGAAGTAAATAACTTCCTATTAAAAAAAAAAAGCAACTATAAGTTATACACCCTTCTAAAAAAAAACTATCTAGCACCTCTTCTAGTGCTAGAGAATTCAATGAATTTTTATAGAAGAGAAAAGGAAAGCATCTCGCAAGAAAAGGATAAGGAAAAAGGCACCCATATAAGAGAAGAAGTAGGAAAAAAATACGCCGTAAGGAGAATTTTTCTTACCTGTTTCCATTTAAAAAAAACTGTGACATCACAGGGTGAGACCGGGGCAGCAAAATCAACAAAATGTCAACAGCAGCCAGAGCAAAGAAGTACACTTATAATTATGTACGCTAAAGTTTGTTTTAACAAAATACTATGTACGTATTGAGATCTTATACGTATCAGGTATACGTAAACGCATGCAAAACACCTACTACGAATTCTATTGGTTGATTATACTGATCATATGATTATGCAATGTTTAATTCTTAGCAGCCTAGTTAATCTTCAATTTTCAACTAGGAAATGAATAATTACCTGTAGTCTGGAGCTTTTTTATTATAAGTTTATTAAAAATAAATATATATATATTATTTAAAATTATAAATATGTACTGTATAGCAGTGTTGTCACTGGAAGACCACTGGAAGGCCACTGGAAATTAAATCAATAATGCCACTGGAACTTTAAGTTCCAGTGAAATTAAATCTTAATAAGGCCATACAAATTTAATTACTTGGTTTTCATAACATGAAATTTTAAAAATAGACCCGGCCGGCCGGCTTTTTTTTTTAAATTTCATATATAAAATTTTATAAAATTTATATAAAAAAATTTTTTAAAACCCACCCGGTTACTATAACATATAAAAAATTTTTTTTAGAAGTTTTCAAATTTTGACCCGGCCGGGTTATGAAAACCAATTAATTAATTTTGCATGGCCTAATATATATATAGTATAACTAAAAAAATTTATTACAGTAGTATATTTTTTTATTTGCGCATCATCGCTAGTATTACGTGCCCAAAATTAGCCAATAACAATAATATAACAAATCAAAGCAACATAAGCTAATAACACTATCTAAATCATTTATATCGCCATAGCAAATTCTATACAATCACGATTAATTCAATACAAAACTAACTTAGCACTATCTAAATCACTTACCAGCGGCGACGAATTCTTCCCGGTCTTGGAACTTTTCATCTGTAAGCGTAGTAATCGAAAATTTCAAATTACCATACAATCATGATCAATCCAATACAAAACTAACTTAACACAATCTAAATCACTTACCAGCGGCTTCGAATTCTTCTCGGTATCGGCACTTTTCGTCTATAAGTACAGTAATCGAATTTTTTCATAGCAAGTTACCATACAAATCACGACTAATCCAATACAAAACTAACGTAACACAATCTAAATCTCTTACCAGCGGCTACGAATTCTTCACGTATTGGCACTTTTTGCATGTAAGTGCAGTAACCAAAATTTCACAGAAAATTACCATACAAATCACGACTAATCTATGACTAAACCAATACAAAACTAACTTAACACTGTCGAAATCACGTACGAATTCTTCCCAGTCTTGGAGCTTTTCGTCTGTAAGTATAGTGATCGAATTTTTCACAGCAAATTACTATACAAATCACGATTAATCATAGAAAACTAACTTAACACTATCTAAATCACCTACGAATTCTTCCCGGTCTCGGCACTTTTCGCCTGTAAGTACAGTAATCGAATTTTTCACAGCGAATTATCATACAAATACGGTTAAATTCAACATAACCTAACTTAACACTATTTAAATCGCTTACTAATGGCTACAATTCTTCTCGGTCTTGGAACTTTTCATCTGTAAGTACAGTAATTGAATTAATCCAATACAAAACTAATTTAACACTATTTAAATCACTTACCAGCGGCTACGAATTCTTTCCGGTCTTGGTTCCAGGTATCTGTAAGCACAGGTATCGAATTTTTCACAGCGAATTATCATACAAATACGGTTAATTCAACATAAACCTAACTTAACAATATTTAAATCGCTTACTAATGGCTACAATTCTTCTCGGCCTTGGAACTTTTCATCTGTAAGTCCAGTAATTGAATTTATTGTACACTTCTTATGTGAGTACCTAGCCATTTTCATGCATGTTATTGGGTCAATTCTAATACATGATACACA